ACACACACACACACACACACACAAACACACACACACATACACACATACGCACACACACACACACACCATAAACGTCCTAGCATAGCTGTGTTTCTGACACTGGAGAGATGAGGACAGGGACAGTATGACGTAGGGAATGACGTGACAAACGCAGCTGAGAGGGTTGTTGGGTTTTTAAAAAATTGTTGTACTGATTGTGTTTGCTTGTTGTTTTGTTTGTGAGTTTTTTTGTTTGTTTTTTGTTGTTGTTGAGTTGTTTGTTGTTGTTTTTTGGCGAGGGGGGGGGTGTGGGGTTGACTTTCCAATTTCCAGTCAGTGTATCAATGATTGAACTGTGCGGATGTAGTGTGAACTTATGCTTGCCACTTTTATATATGTCAGATTAGTATAGCTTTGCTTCTACCGGTCTATTTGGCGGTCTACTGCGATGTATCTGTTCTGATTTCTTAACAGTTTTCTTCCGGGATTGTCTGAAACTGTTCCTTTTTGGGAGGTTTACTGAATTGAATCATTAAATCGACTTTGACCTTCCAAAATCATACACATTTGTTTTGTTTTGTTGTTTTGATTTTTGTTTGTCTTTTTTTTGCTTTTGGTTGTTGTTGTTTTGTTTTTTGGGTTTTTTTTGGGGGGGCAGTGGGCGGGTGGGGGGGGGGTGATTAAATCGTGAATCGAATTAGTCTTACTGCAGCAAACTGTAAGCTTTTACCCTTGCCATGAAGGAAAAATGTGGCTTGCCCCCACTCTGTTCAATGAATCTGATTGTCTGTGTGCGAGGTATTTCAGCGATGATAACTGGCTGAATAAAGTAGGGCGGGGTTGATAGTAAAATAGGGCAATGGTTGGGGTGTGGGTACGGTTGGGTGTGTGTGTGGGGGGGGGGGGGTAGGGAAAGATTCATTATAAAGGAGGAAAATGTGTGAGTGTGCGTGTGTGGGTTGGGGCGGGGGGCTGTTGTAAAGAAAATATATCACATTACAAGTATCCCCCCACAATATGAAGGAACAAGCGTCTTCAAAAATGGAGAGTGGGCTAAGAGGAAATGGAATTTTTTTAAGCATATAGAAATGGAATGGAGGCGAACAAAAATGGAATGAGATATTCAAAAAGCCAACGTTCCAGAACGAGGTTCTTGTGACTAGCAAAATAGGACAGAAATAGCTTGGGACACCCTAATGCCACTATCAATAGAGGATCTGTCTTTCTTTGAAGGAAAGGTTGAACCAATTCCAGGAAAAGAAATACAATCAAATCATAGAAGGTTTTGTTTCTTAGAAATTGTTTTTTTTTCTCTCTCAACAGTTAAGTTTTCGCGCTAGCTTTCATTCAGTCATTACCACAAATAGTTCTTCCAAAATATATTTTTGTTTTTATCATCTACTTCTGTAGATTTATTTATTCTTCTTTTTAGCTAGACGACGCTGGTAGTTGAGTACATAGGACACTATCATTGACATTGGAAGGGATAGAATCCTATTTCCTCTGCTTGTTCAAGCTGATCTAAAAGGAAAGATGCAGTTTTGCTGCCTGATAGGCATGCGATCGCTATCTTTCACTGTCGTATCATGAAGTTTTTCCAAGAACTATTTTTACGCTAGGTGAACTGAAAATTAAGACGAAGAACGTGTCTCAAGAATACCGAGTCGTTTATTTAACTTCCCAGAACCAGTCCTAAGTTCTAAAACAATAATCTAGGAGAATTAAAGTAATTCAATCTTTACCTCCCGTCATCCAATCATAAATTCTCGAAACAAATTTAAGGGGACAAAAGTAGATCTAACTCAATATATCATTATCTACCTTACATGAAACATTTTAAGTTCTTGAAAAAATAATCTAGGTGAACTGAAGTAATTTATTATACCTTCCCAGACACATTCCTAGATCCTATGTTTTCGAAAAGCAACCTCCCCCCTCCCCATAATTCTTTTTAAACATCTGGTGAACTTAGGTAATTTAATTAAAAGAAAAGCGTTTCCTAATGCAATAAATCCCAATTTGAACGACTCGTGGATCGAACCCACAATTCTCCCGTTCCGACCCAGACTCTCCAGCATCTGTACAATGAGACAAAGACTCTAGCTCCCAAAATCGGAGAGTTACGTCGACCTCTGGGTGAAGATCGTTAACCAAATTACCAGTTTCCGGTGTCCATGTTTGGTTAGCCAGCACGGAGTGACCGCCACCCATTCAGGAGTCGGGGCACAGAGCTTCCTGGGCGGGAAGTGGAGGTCATGGCGGCCCCTGGTCTTTCAGGAAAGGCGGGATAACTTGAGAGAAAGTACTTTTTCGATACGCTCACAAACTGTAAGGGGGAGGGGGGGGGGAGGATATGGGGAATGAGGGGAGGAGGCTATTTATTACAGATAAATGTCCGGATTTTTAAAAAAAGTTGTTTTGTTTTCGCTTCCCAAAGGATGAGGAGGGAGAGATTATAAAAAAAAGGTGGGTTGGGGGGAGGGGGGAGGGTTAATATATAAATTTTTCTTCCAAAGAAAACAGCTATTCCATGTGGCTAGTTTATATGGTGATTTCTTTTCATTCTCAGACTGTAAGAAGAATAGGGGAAAAAGGGGGTTGGTGAGGGCTTTCAGAAATGTACAGATTTGAGAGAAAGTTTTTCTATACCCTCACAAACTATAAGGGGTTTAGGGGACAGGGGGGAAGGAGGAGATGTCGCAATTACATAGAAATGTCCGGATTGTAAAGAACGATTTTTTCTCTTTACAGACCGTAGGGGAGGGAGGGAGGGAGTGAGAGAAAGAGAGAGAGAGAGAGAGAGAGA